ACACCTCTTTGAGATTATAAAATATCTTTGGTTCCGACTTTATTGGATTCTTTCAAAAACCAGTTGGATTATATTTTACTCCAATAAGATTTTTCCTTGCCGTACCAAGCCATTCGCGCAAAACAAGCCTGGAACAATTCATATAGAAATCCAATTGAAATTGAACTCATTTGAATTAGTATGGTGAATGCAAAATCGCCGACGAAGTGGATGTCCAGGCTAGTTTCCATGTTTTCTGTATTCTAATTTCTCTGAGCAAACAAACAAGTTTGGCATCTGCGGTAGATGAGAGGTGAGAATTGTGTACTCAAAAGTCGCTAGCATCCAGGTTCGATCCACACTCCCATCCATTCCTCAAAGTAATCTTTGTTTTTTTTTTAATTATACAGGGCGTTCTAGACCTCAAAACCGAAAGTCGGTAATACGATTATTATTTTTTCCACAATACATCATACTCCTACCCTGTCGGAAACACAAACAACAAAAAAGAAGTCATATTTTTTCGTTTTCCAATAAAAAAAATTTTCACTAATTTAAGAAGTCCAGGACGAGAAAAAAGTTTCAAACAGAAATTACGTATTTTTAGCCTCAGAATCCGAGTCTGTAGTAAAAACATGGATGTCTAATTTCCAAAACATGGACTTTCGAATAGTTTAATCCACTTCCAGTCGAGATTGCAATTCGATAATACCACCAAACGATAGAACATTCCCTATTTGGTTGGTAAAATTTGTGCGTTTTGCAACAAAAACATTTCCTCCCATTTTATTGGGGGGCGGGCGGTCTAGGACACTATATATATTTTATTTTATTTTATAATCATTTATTTTACTTTTTTGTTTTATGTTATTTCACATAATTATTTTTCAAGTGAATTTCAGTATTCTGAGTTGAATTTTATTAAAAAAGCTCCCAACAACTATAATTCAAATATTTTGCTGGCGATGGGACTAGAACCCTCGACCTCGCAACTCGCTTAATCCGATACAATCAGGATACAATTTCGAACAGATCAGTTGCGTTGTTAATTCGGATAAACGTTGCCGTCTGTCTATGCAATTACATACATACATATGTCAAATTAATAAAGAGCTTGTAGAACAAGACGAAAAGTCCAGCAAGAGATAGGCACGGACGCGAATTTGCAAGTTTCACTCCCAGCTAGTGTCCACGCTTGCCTTTCCAAACATAGTAAAATTTTATTGAATTTTTTAAGTTGGACAAAATCTGGACCTAGCTTGTGTATGTATGTATGTAGTATATTTCTTTTTATGCGGACTTCAAGATTCGTTTCAATTTATTTGTCATAATCACTATCGGGTTTCCTACACCAAATATGGTTGCGATTGCACTCCGATATAAATTATAAAGAATGAAATAGTAAGGGTCTTCACATCCACTTCTTATCAATTTTATCAACTGTGAACGTCCTTTTCAGATTCCTTTCGTTAATCAGGTAAACTATGTTTATGAACAGCTGGTTCGTAGCTTTTAGACTATAAAGAAATAAATGGTAACAGAAAATTTAATGAATTTTACTTACTCGTATGTGTTATGCCTTTCGGCAGCGACCGGATTTAAAATTGAATACATATCGAACAGCTGATCAGTTTAACAACTCTCAGAAAAACTATCGAGCTTGCAATCACTATAATTCGATAATTGGTAAACCGATAATACAATTATTAGGCACAAATAAAATATGTGAGAAAAAATTACCGAACACCGGGTCACCGAGTGCCAAGCTCGATGTGAAGACCCTTAGTGTATTTTTGAGCATAGTTTTTGGCACGATCAGTGTTGCCAGATTCAAAGTTTAACTCTAAATTACAGTTTTTTAGGCAAGCTTACAGTTGTTTAAATTACCTCCAAGTATAATTTACATTTTTAATTTTGGAATTGTTAAGATCAAAGCGGTCCCTGAAGTAGACGCGTTTCTTAGTTTGAAACAAATGGCTTCAGCTGGCTTTTGCATTCCAGTCAACACAGTAAATGTGGAAAGAATATTATCCCAAATCAACTTGAATAAAACAATAACTAAATTAACCACAAATTCAAGCACGCACTGGTATTTTAAGAGCCGTCGGCATTTCTCAAGAATTATCTCAAGAAATAACTTTCATTATCTATATATTAATACGCTAACGAAATCCCATACAAATCTATTCCTCCCTACTGCTATGAATTTTAAAATCATTTAACAGAATGTATATTACTCCACCAAACAATATAAGTGACCTAGACTAGACGATAAACAAGTGCTGCTGGATATAAAAACTACCCAAACAAAATTAATAATTTTATAAAAAAGTGAGGTGGTCGAATTTCGACAACGGGGCGATACTAGTTGTAAAAAAAGGACTTTGCTGTCGTTGTAAAAACTGATTTCAGAAATTTTTATAGAAGAAAATCTCTTTTCCATTTCTAGTGCGTCATTTTAAATATATGTATGAACATATGAATTTTCCCGATTTTCTTCAGAGCTGCAGACAGCTATTTAAGAACTAAAAGTTTCATCAAAAATGCTTCAGAAGGCACTAAATTTGAAGTATCGAATCAAATAATCAGACAAGTAACAAAGCAACTAACGAAAAATAATGAAAGATGTAGCTTACATACGTTGGAAAAATATACGAAATGCTTGCTGTTCACCCTAATATACAAGCTTACCTATACCTATATATAAAAAATATGTACGTATGTATTTATGTATGATGTGCTTACGAGTATCTCTGCATCTGCATGTGTCATTTTTGAATATAAAAACAATAAATAACAAGGAGGAGCAGTGCCGCAGCGACTTTGGCGTGGTTCTATGCCGTGCCCTGCTGTGCTGCAGGCGATAGTGCCTCCAATGTTTAAGAAATATTTAGTTTAAATACTAAATGCAAATAGCCCAGTATGTTAGATTGCATTTGCATAAGGGTCATTCCATACAATATTTACACCTCAATATTTTTTTTTGGGTCAACTCTTTATCGAAAAAAAGAAGACACCTATTATTTTATTTGGTCATGATATTCGAAAATTTCGAAAAAAAAAATATTCCGAAATTTTGAACTTCGATAAAGAATGTAAAAAAGTATATTTCACCCCAAAAAAATATTGAGGTGTAAATATTGTATGGAATGACCCATAAGTATGGATGTGTGTATGAACGTATGTAACTCAATTTTGAAAGTGGACTAGTGACCAGCGTTGCCGTTTTGGTACAATTGTATCATTTTCGATGCCATTTTTTTTTTAAATTTTAAGATTTGATACTTTTTTGTTTCACAACCTAGCCAGCAGAGAAACGTACTTTTTGTCGAAAGTGCAGTTTTCGTACATTTTTCTTATCCGGAAACGTTCAGAAAACGATTTCCATATTTGTTAATTTTTCGTATCCGGTAAAATGTCATCATCTTATTTCAAAACAATAATTTTAAAATATTTGTTCAAACTGAGCATTTGAAAACGTATTCGTCAGTAGCTGAGTGTGCACAGAAGTGTCCTATATTTGTTAGCTTTCAGGAGGTTCCAGGTTCGAATTCCATCAGAAGCAACACGTTAAAATTATTTATTCAAATTAAATTGAAATAATTGCTGAATCTTAAAATTGTTTTTGATGAGAGCCACATTGAGCGAGTAATATTTGCTTCTCACAAGCCCGAAGTCGGCCGGACTTTTTTTCCGGGAGAGTTTGTGAAAACTTTTAAACTGCTAGAAGAAGAGGAAACATTTTAAACATTCAAATTTTAGCTAGGAAACTTTTGAATATTTAGCTGTTTTTTTCGATTGGAGTATTTCATACTTAGATAGATAGATAGTTGAATCAAGCACAGAGACCAGTAGCTCAAAAAACTCTAGAAATTTCTGATTTGATCCCGGGTGTAGAGAATGTATGTGGTTCCCTCTTGGCCATAAATTTCGTACTTACGCTCATTTCCCCAAAACTAACCTAACTAAACCTAATGTTAAGAAAGGGGGTAGGTAAAATTACATACATAATATGTAACAAACGACATCAATTTGAATGCTGTATTTTTGGAAAATTTCTATTAAGAAAAAAAAAATGTTGAAATTAGGCCATAAATAACAAAAAAAGAAAAGCTAATAACCTAAGGACGAGCACACCTAAAGTTAAACATCCCACTGGGAAAATAGGTAACACCTTACGAGGTAAGCTTTCTAGTGAAGGGCAATACCTTACCAGCAACTTACACTTCACCCGGCGGTCCTTACCACTTCACTGGCGAATCTCCCTTACTTTAACAAAGACGTGGCCGCCTTATGTAAGCAGGACTTTAGATTGTACATTTAGTATCAGACATACCTCAGTTTGCTTTTACTATATGGCGTATAGTGTCGATTAGTAAATAAAATTCGTAAAATGTAGCACCTTAATTCATAAAAAATAAAGAAGAATTTAAGTACTTTATGAAAATGGCACTTTAGAACGCTCTTTAAAGCTGTTTTATTTTTTTGTGAATAAAGCCATAAATATTTAAAGAGTTCTAAATTTTTTACAACGAGATGTCTTTTTTTTTTGTTTTTTGCCAAAAAACCGGGACATTTTGCGTCCCGGCAAATATTGTACCCGCCGAAAACGGGACGGTTGGTATTCGACTAAGCTAATTTCGCAGACGAACTAACTAATTTCACAAACATAAAATCACAAATGTGCACGAAGGCATCCATAAGAATGAAGAGTTTTGAAGCAACCGCACTGTCTGGATGTTACATTCGCTTTTATTGCATTTCCGGACACACTCAAATGAACCTACATACATACATACAGACATACAAGATTATAGTAATCAAAAAGAAAGAAAGAAAGCAAGAATATAATTATGTATTTATGTAGTTCTTTTTTTAATGAATAGCCATACATGTAATTTAATTACACCTATTTATGTGAATTGTACATACATACATACATACATATGTGTGAACATAAAAATCATATTACTTTATAAGATTACTCATTGGCGTTATTTCATATTTTTTTTATGTTGCAGTGCGAGACGGGGCAGCTAAAGAAGTAGAAGAAGTAGCAGTGGCAGTGGAAGCAACAACAAAAGAAAGCACCAACTACTCCAATGAAGGCGACAATAACGTATTCACCGCCTAGCTTGAATTCGTATCAAAATGTTCCTCATGCAGAATGCACAACAACAACAACAACAAAAACAAAAATTAAAACAGAAACAGAAACAGCACTAAACATTAAAGTAAGATGCGTAGATGTGGTAGACAGCGATCAGGACGACGACGCCAGCTATGGTCACGACAGTCCCAATGCAACCGACAGTGGTAGGAGACAGCCGTGGAGTCACAGTCATATCCACAGTCATAGCCACAGCCACAGCCACAGCCACAGCCACGCTCATAGCCACAATGAAACACAAGTTGTCACTAGGGGCGACAGCATGGGCGCGAATTTGAGAAGCAATTGCTGTCAGCGCGAACATAAAAATTATCGCAAACATGTGATGTCCCAACTGCCAAGTTGTACGAGGGACAACATCCGCACGTTACCAGCGCCTGCCAGAAGCGAGCGAGAACGCCGCCAGGCGCAATATTCACGCAACTATACGGTATATTTAGCAACGCAAGTCAAGACATCAAGAAGAATGCAGAGGACGTGTGAAGATTTTGCAATATCACCAAAGTTGCAATTGGCAAATGCGGCGGAGATTAGAGGAACCGCGTTGACAACCACGCTGCAGCCAGTTACATTGAGCACAACAGCAAGCAAAGTTGAGAGGTCTGAATTTGGTGACTGCATTAACTCAAAATCTGGCTCACAACAAAGACTATCAACAACAAAAGCGATATGGGCAACAACACCAGCAACGGTGTCATCAGCGCAATCAACGTCTTCAACATTATCGTCGTCGTCATCTTCAACATCAACGCCGTACAACAGCTATGCGGCGTCAAGCACATTAAAGACAACACCACCCCCTTGCCTAGAGGATAATTTTAGTTTAAGTAACAAAAGACAATTAGTTATGCCAATTGAAGAGGAGAATAGATTAGGAAATGTCGGTGCTGGAGCACAATCCCGAGAGTACCGAGAGATGCCAGTGAAACGACCACTGCTAACGATGCAAACAATCGCACAACCAAAGCAATCACAAGCACAATGGCGGCATAGAATACTGTGGCGACCCACTTCTGCGCCACTGCGAGTGGGCATGGAAGAGACATTTGAATTTCTCGCCTCAGCAATTAATGCAAGAAAAAATGCTTTGGCGTCTGGGGTCGCCCACATAAATGCCGCGCTCCGTGCTGCTGGGGCAACATTAAGAGGAAATTCGCAAACAACGACAACTTTAGACTGCAGGTGCTTTAAGGAAAATAGTGATATTTGTACGGTGGCTGATCGAAAGGCGGTGAAAGAAGCAAACAAAGAAGAGGAATTCAATGGAATGTGTGGCCAAGAGGAAATGCGTGATTTGATGGAGTACAATAGTCGGCGACTGGGTAGCCAGCAACACCCACACCAAAATCAACTACAACGACACAATTTTCTAGATGTAATACCACTGCTGTCGCGAAAGAGCCTCTACTCTCTGGGTATAATGGGTGTGCCGCCTTGGTCAACAAAACTATTGGTTTTATCGCTGCTCATGCTGGCTATTGCTTCACCGGCCAACTGCTGGACAGGACGGCCAGATGGTGAGTAATTAAATTTAGTTTATAATTTCGTGACAAAGTGCAGTTTAGTAAAACCGGGGAAAGCATCTGGGGAAAGCTGGATCCATATATTTGTCTAGCAACACTAGTCAAAATTGAATGAAGATCAAGAAAACGAAAAATTCATATAAAATGATGTACGAACCATGAAAAAGAAATTTTCTTCAAATATTTTATTTTTATTTTTTTAATCTGAAATGAAATAATTTTTCTTGTGACAATTCTGGCAATTCTGGCAACAGTCTTGAAAGCTCTTTCCTGTGTCTCGAAAGTCTAATTTAAAGATCTGATAACGAGAAGGTCTTAGTATTATTCTGTTTGTCTTTTAGCAATAAGTTTTCTAAAAATGAAATGAAACTAAAGTAAAAACATATTTTTTCTTTAAAACAATAAAAAATAATAATGAAAGGAAAATTACTATTCAAAATATTAAACTAAAAAAAAATTTATAAAATAATTCATTAGATTGAATTAAAAAAAATATTAATTAAATTAGAAAAGAAAAAAATAAAATAAGTTCGTAAAAATAAACAAATTTAATAAAAACTAATGGAACAGGAGTTTCTAAATGGAATTAAAAAAAATCCTTTTTGAAGCAATATAATCTAAAAATTAGATTAAAAAAGAAAAGAAAAATAAAATAAGTTTCTAAAAATCAAATGAAATTCAAAAAATATCTATGTATATTTTTCTTGTCAAAATAATCTTTTTAAAATAAAAAATCTAACCATAAAAAAATAGAAAATTCCGCTTCCCGGGAATTTGTCGAATGGCACGCTAGTGATTTGCTCACTCGGCCATTACGGAGCAGCGCGAGCAAAACGATATACAAGTGCTTTCAGTTAAAAGAGCTTTTCACCATGAAAGTTGTCAAGTCGATTTTTTATATGACTTTCATGTCAGAATAAACAAAATCTTTCAAACTATCTTGCCTACTGCCTTTCAATTATCTCACAAAAGACTTTCAACTACCTTAGCTGCAATTGCGTTGTAACTGTAATTTTGGTAGTTAAACGGCGATATAATACACTTTTCGATGTGGTTTGCTTAATATGGCTTCATAAGGGCTGGCTTGGCGTTTTCTGCAAATGTTTCGAAAGAGTATTTGACAAGAAAGTATTTGGATTACGACCAAGTTAATATACATATGTACATATGTAAATAATGGCTAAGGGCTTATAATATCCTCGATCTATTCGTACCAGGTGCAAAGCATATACATATACCACTTGAATAAATAAAACATTGCTTCCCTCTCCTTATGCTTGTCATATCGGGCCGGTTCCGCCCGAACGTTGTGACTTCTCACTTAGAGCCATTTCACACGTTCCGGTCGCCGTTTAGAAGGTAGCTGAATTACCGGCTCAAAAAGTGTGTATAGTTATTAGAACTTCCATCCAACCCGGTGGCTGGTTTCATACATTTTATGCCGGCAAACCGGCTGCTAGTTATTAGGCGGCCGGAACATGTGAAACGCTTCTTTGGAGACATTTCATTTCACACCACAGCACAAGTAATTTTCAATTGTTGTTAAATGTAAAAAATTCAGAAAATCATAAAGTTTGTATATGGATACGTGTGCAAGTTTTTTAAGGCCAGTTGCCAACGCAACACAATAGTCGACTTAAAAGTTATTTTATTATCACTTCCTTTCGAATAGAGTCTCGTCTTTTTAAGCTAGCTCTTGGCAAATATTCTGAATGTGGCAAATGTATATTTTCAGTTCACAGACATAGCGACAGCTTTGAGGATAGAGGGTAACTGTTTTGAATACGCAGCGGTCAAGCCACCCCTAAATGAACGAAACAAACAAATCTATAATCAAGTATGAAAGCATGTACATACATATGTATGTATGTACATTAGACAGCATCACAAAAGTAATATAAAATTTGTTTATTCGATTTTGAACACCTTTTTGTCAGTATCTACTTATAACAAACAACGCGTGCAGGTAACAGACAGATAACAGCACTCAAACTCCATGCTGCCCACTGCACTGCCTTCTGGTTACCTTTTAATCTGTCTAAAATCTACACGAAATATGACTAAATCGGATCAGATTGTTGGGTGTTACAGAACTCGGATGTTCGTTTCCTAACACATTGCTGTCGAACGCCTCATAACTAAATCCCCAGCAAACGCGGGACAGAAGCTATAGTGTCCCAACGTCTTATCCGCCAGGAAGTAAGGAAGGGAAAATGGGGTTATCATGCATGCCGATCACAGTCACATGAAGTGGCCAGTCAGCAATCCAACAAATTGTCTGTAGTCCCATCTGCCTAATACACGCAAATACCTAGCTTATCTTTCTGATATTGAGGGCAACATAAGTTACTGCTTGCTGACTAAGGACTACCTGACCCGAGTCCTCTCTAGAAAAATGGTAAGTGTCTCATTACCAGTCCAGTCACTACGGACACATAAACTCTTACATCCCCTCCTATCTTCCATCACATAGTGCAAAGCATTGAGAATTGAAAATACCTCGGTTTGAAATACTAAGTCATATTCCTCAAGAGAGAAGTATAGAGTGTCCCCGTAACCATTCATTCATTGTCAGTGCGCTGTTATGGCCTTGGAAGTCTTTTGTTCAACGTGAGACTTTCTTAAACGTTTACTATCTAGGAATACGCAGAAATACGTTAATTCTGAAATATGTATAGGGTAAAGAAGTCGTGTCTAACGTTCCCCTTCTAGAGAAGATCACAAAACTAGTTTTGGTTGGGTTAGCGGACATCCCAAGTGTAAACCATATTCTGTATTCTTTGCGCTTTCTTGAAAAAAACTTAGAGAGAAGAGCCTGTTGAGCTGCCAAGTTTGACGAGTAAGGAATCAATTACCAAGCACCAGAGCAAGGGAGAAAGCACGCAACCCTTCGCTTATTAAAAGCCGAATGTAGGGGTCAATAGAGCTTTTAATACCAATTCAAATGAAAAATATATATACATATGTATGTCGGTCCGTCGCCATAATGCAGAGGAAGTCTTTACTGTCTGAAGCATTTTTGTTCTAGATGAATCGGACGATATTATCTTTGCAGGCCTGAAAGGCTTCTTCTTCCGTCAAAGCATTTTTATTTAACCTTGGATCTACTAAGGTGAAAACTGTTAAAATAATATTTTACTGTTGCGATAAGTTCAAGTTTTTAGCCGATATAAAATAATATTGAAATCATTTTTTCTAAACTTGAAATATACATATATTTATAACGGCGAATGTTTAATGCAGAGAATCGGTATTGGGTAACGAAGAGGAAGTATTAGGTACCGAAATCTTTTTGAAGTATTGAGCATATCACTACAATTGAAAATGCAATGCCCAAAACGAATTCTTTCGTTGTGATGGCATTGCAAATTCTGTCAACCAGTTTCCTTATCAATGCAAGGAAACATTGCCTATGAAATGTTACAGACGCTTATTGACGAGCTGTGCTAATGTGATTACATATACATATATGGATTTCTTTACTGCTCCACTGCCAGTTTGTAAATATTATTTAGGCGGAGTAGGTACTCATTGATTTTGTATATATGTACATATTGGTATAAGTACGCACAACATGCATGAATGTGCATTTCACCTACATTGTATGCCTAACGCATATGTATGCATTTGTATGTACAGATATACGATTACGTAGGTATTTACGATGATAAGTATGCATGTCGCAATGTTCGTAACATTCTTTAATATGGACGACACTTTCAATAGGTAATTTTTATTTCTTTATTATACGCATATGAACCCACTGTACATAATAAATACTTGCGCTTGCTGTGACATTTTTTCCAATTTCCCTGGTTGCAAGTACGAGTACTTCTTATGGTTTCGTATTCTTTAACTTTCCATTTCAAAGAACATATGTATGTATGTATGCATGCATGCATGTATGTTTGTTTCCTATGGAGGGTGATTGTATGCCACTATTGCTTACAATTTACCAAATTAAAAAGCCACCAATCTTTTGTATGAAATGAAGGCTTAATTATGCATTATTGTTGAGTGTAGGTATAATCGGTATTTATTACATAAGTTGCCACATGAAATTTCTTTCGGAATTTGACATTTTAATGAAGAGCACACTCTTCAAATAAATACATACATAACCGGTAATAATGTTGCCAGAATATTAATGAAAAGTTTAAATTATTGTAAAAAAAAAATAGTTTGGAAATAAAACTTTAGTCATTGCTTTGTTAGTGCCGTTTCATACACTGCGTTTTTCGGTTACCCGATACCCGATACCCGGTTTTGTTTTGTTTTGTTCGTAGGAGGGGAAAATGCTTTGTGCACTGGCCGGGGGCGCTACTGCTTCAAAACTTTTCGGCACTAGAGATCATTACCCCAACGTTCTGCGTGAAGTCAGAAGTGCTCGCAAGTGAAGAATGTGCACGTTTTTTTCCATGTTTTCACAGTAGCGACAATATGAATATATTCTCGGAAGTAACCATGACCGGGGAGAAATCGCGTCAGGTAGGAATCGACCTCGATGTGCGTCCATTGAGCTTTTGTGCCCACGTTACAGTTATGTTGCCACCGTAGGATTAGTTGCTCGGCCTATCTCGGCACTGAGATTGTAAATCTATTTTCGCTCGTGAGCAAGTAGCTCAATTGGCATGACGCTAGAAATAACTAGAACCGCGTCCGCGGACACTGTACGGTATGCAGAAGCTATGCATAGTGCCCCTCTACATTGGAACGCAGACATTTGAATCTGGTATTTTCTGACATTCAATGCGTCGGCCCATATATCTGCCCCATACAGGAGCACCGACTGGACTGCTGTCATCAAAAGTTTCCTACGGCTTAGAGCCACCGTGCTGTGCGCAGCTTTGTGTTCCCAGAATGTGAGTTTGTTGTCAAGCTTCACCTCTAGGCATTTTGTAGACCTACAAGTTGTCACGAGCCGAGGTCCGACCATCATGTTTATAATTGTTGGGATCCGTTTCTTGGTCAGCAGCACGATCTCTGTTTTGGTTGTAGCCAATTGCAGACTGTGATCGCTCATCCATCGATTGACGCTACACATAACCTGGTTCAGCTTGAGCTGTGCCAGCTGGGTGTTTCTTGCTGTTATAACGGCGGCCACTTCGTTCACGAAGGTAATAAGGAAGGAGGTCTCCGGCAGTTCAGTACGCAACAGACTGTCCAGAGATGCGGGCCAAGTACAGACCCCTGTGCCGCTTCGCCGGTTATACGTCTATTTCTTCAACCTTGCGTTGTGTCGTAAAACAGCCAACGGTCACTGAGGTAGTCGCGAATCATATCTAACAAGTATCTTGGAACCTTGAATGACCGCTCGAAGGCTTCCAGCATGTCGTCCCATCTTACCGTGTTCTTAATGTCCAGTGTGACTAGCAGCATTATTGGCCGTCCCTGGTGGCAGGCTTCTTCGGCTTTATGTACCGCCTCGACTACTTCACTAATTGATTGAAGCCATGTTGTCGTGGTGAAAGGCCTCCCACGTTTTCTATGGCTGACTTCAAGCGTATTTTGAGCAGACTCTTCAAAACCGGCCTGCTGGGTATAACAAGCCAAGTGACCCGAACGACGAAGGAGAGTTTGGGTTTGGGTAGGGCAAACCTACGGGAAGACCTGGGGGCCCTAAGTCAGCTGTTGTACGTGTTAAGCAGGAGATCAGGGCTTGTTTTCGCTGCTAACCTGATTGCCTGCGCTGGTATGCAATCGAGACCTGGAGCCTTGCCGGCTTTCATGCTTTGCAGGGCTAACTTCTGCTCATAGTGGGACCTCATCCATCGCAGCCGATTTACCGGTTCTAAGTGTTGTAGCAAAACAATAACAGCTTTAACGATAACCAATATATATATATACTATCAAGTATATGTATATAAAGGCAGTTGCACGAGATCACCAAGAATCAAAAAATAATTCAATGTTTTCGGATATATGTAAATAAATTTGTAAGGAAAGTCAAATGACAGCTAATCACTTGTGCCGCCTTAGTTAGCAAACAACGACAAATTTGCTGTCTGAAATGCAGGGGCCGTAACGGTTGCGATCTTTATTATAAAAATCATAATACAACCGTTGAAATTAGATTTTTATTTTTTCGATCAAGGAGAAACGTTACTTTTGGAATTTTTATTTTTTTTCGATATACATTTTATTCGAAAGCCACTAACTTATCAAAGTATCCTGTTTTGGTGGCTGCATGGATTAGATCAAATTTTTATTATTTATTACATATGTAAATATGTACATACATTAATAGGCTTATATATATATAATTTATATTTATTTGCTTTCAGTTCCAACAAATTGCACTTTTCCTGCGCGTTGGGAAGGTTCGTGGTTCCTATCGGGCTACCAGCAATCTATTCATATTAAGGGATCACAATTCAGTTATCGCGGTAAATGTGCGGCCTCGGATGGTAACAAATATTTGATTGTTGACGAGTAAGTTGAAATGTTCTATCTCATATATTTACTATTTATACGTATATAATTTATACACATATTTTGGCTTACATTTATTACATTACTTATTTATACGTACAGTGAATTTATTTAATTTTTATATTTACATATAAACAAGTACAGTAATACCGGCTTAAGTGAAGCATACTTAATTGATTTGCCCTTTGTATTACACGAACATTTTTGTTTTACATGGAAAATATTTGATACTCAATTGTGTTATGTGTACATACCTTTTCAAAGAATAAGCTAAAGAGTTTTATAAACTAAAAAGTTGCATTCAGTTGCATGCCTGCTTAAATATCTTTTTCGCTAAAGTGGGCCTGAATCACGAATGAAGCACGAAGCTGTTTTTACTCTAACGCAATTTAAATTGTCCAAGCGGGCTCGTTATCGAGTGCTGAAAATTCAAAATGAAAACTCAAATGGTGTTTTTGCTTTCGATCACCGATGCCGTAATTCGGCTTCTGGCAACACACTTTTATATATTTCTTATGTAAAAAATATTTTTAAATTGAATAAATATTCTACAAAATGAAATTTGCATCAATGAATTTAAGGGCTAATTGACAAAAACCTTTTTTTTTTAGTTGCATTAAGCGGATATTACTGTACTTGCGCAGAAATGCTGTGCCTTAAAAATAACCAATCGACGCGAATCAATCTGATATGTTAAGAATATAAAATTATATTTTAAACACTTAATTTACTCGATATTTAATTTAAAGTAGTATTTAATTTTATAAAAGTGTACGTTTTCGTTTACCCTAATGCCAGATTTCCACTGCACATTAAATTATGCATATTTGAATGACATATTTAGTTGAGTATTACAAAATGCCAATGTTATTACGTTCAAGAAATATAGTTTCGTTCAGGGAAGTGTTACCAATCACTAATTATGTATATATATATATATTTACGTGGAAATTTGGCATTAGTAGAAAATCATAAAAAAAAAAAAATACAACTACATATACATACATACATATGTAGATATGTAGTGTTAAATTTGACTTAAAAGAGCGTAAGTAGGTAAAAATTTATTTTTGAAAATTTTCTAATTCAATCGATAAATTTATACATACCTAAGTAAATATATTCCCTAAGTTGCAGAGTTATAAGGTAAAACATGTGTTCATGTATGTACCTCTATTAGCCTACCTTAACGTATGATATGCATTACTGCTTTTGCCTAGACACATACATATTTCTAAATACGTCCATACATATTTTTATGGTTACGAAATTGTTGAAACTGAATACTACGGTTTGCGTATTAAATGTGCTTACCTTAATGCACTACTATTTTTATTTCGTACTCTTCTTCTCCTGCTCCTTGTACTGTTTGATAAATCGTTTTTTTTTTTTTAACTTTTTTGTTCTACATACATAAATACATACATACATACACTCATGCAGACATGCGTACAAAATTTCGTTACCAAATGTAATTTTTCTCTTTTTGACATTTAATGCTTAAAAATCTTTTTTAAATGTATTGTTATTTGAAAATTTTGTATGAATGTGTATTTCATAAAAGAAATATATACGCTTTAGTTACACAATTTTTAAAACAGACACATTATTCGAAAACTTAACGAAACGACGCTAAGCGTACATTTGCAAATGTATGTCTTTAGTATTTACTTTTTACCAATGTTTTTCCTTAAGTTTCAGTTTCTTGTATGAAGTTCCTCCTTTTTCTTGTCATGTTCTCCCCAGTGTTTGAAAATATCGTTATTTCGTAGCTGATACATAAATTTTTTTTTGTTTGAAAACTGCAACTTTTTAATTTCATTTTATACGAAAATACATACTTGATAGTGAAACAATGTTTTTAATGTCTTATGAAACATATTTTTACAAAAAAATTTGCTAAAATCAACCCCATACATAAATATTTTGGTATGAAAAAAGACACATACATAATTACATAGCTTGTTGCGTCTCCATAGAATACGAACATATGTCTTTTCAATATTGAATTTATCCGACTTCAACTATCGCTACATATGTACAAACATATATACATATGTAATGTGTTTTTGAAGAAGAGATCTATTTTTGGTATTTTGCACATTTTATAACGATTGTTTTAGTTTTCTCACAGAAATTTTTTAGACAAAAAAAGTATGTATTTGTTTTTATTACATTTATTTTTTGAAATGCTACCGAAAACATTGCGTTCCAGAACTCTGTTTTTTTTCAACTTTTTAATTGTTGCTCTAACTTAATTTTTGAAATATTACTTGTATTATGTAAACATTCATTCAGATGATTTTAAGGAAGAAAAATTTGTGCATTTGCGAAATTTCATGTTAACGTAGTATAGATACACACTAGGATGGTCCCTAAAATACCAAAACAATCGCGCATCCTTTATTTTACTCTATATAAGTACAAAATAAAGATAACCACGAAAATTTAAAAATTAAAAAAAAAAATTTTGGGTAGATTTTTTTTACATGCCAAAATTCGAAAAAATGTGATTTTGACCAGCTACAACTCAGTTAGTTTCATAATGAATAAGTTTCAATAATATTTATCAAATTGCAAAGCAAAATTTTTTCGACTTTTGTGGTTATTTTTTTATCGTAAAAATTGTAAGAAATTTTGACTTTGACCATCTAAAAATCAGCGAGTTTATGAATTTAAATGAATGCCTCAAAAATATTTATCACATTTCAGGTCAAAATTTTGTCGAATTGTTGGGATTTGTAAAAAAAAAAATTTTTTTTTTAACTCCGGTAGCCCCCTCTCCTAAATTTTTGATTTTGAAATTTTCGTGGATATTTACGTACATATATTTTGTACGTAGAAGCAAAAAATAAAGGGGTGCCTCATACAAAATTTAGAGTTTGATATTTTAAGGACCACCCTAAGCCTTACTTTATTCGAAATTACAGTTACATCTCCGTTGGTCATACTGGATGCCCATTTTAGCTGCAAGGATTACCAAAGAACCAGTGTCCCGTGACACAGATCTTTCAATCCTCAGCATTTTTGCTTGGCAGATGCTAGTAAAGTTAGGTAGTCGAAACGAGAGAGAAACATCTAGCCTCCACACCGCAGTCCAGCAGAGTTTTTTGCGATTACTCTGACTCTACTTCAATGAGTACAGTCTGATTTTTCCTTCATTCTAAAATCTTTTCACAGAACGAAAACTGAAGACACACAACGCCGAAACCGGTTTGTCTCCAAATCAAACTTGACAAGGGATGACGGATAGTCGTTCCAAAATAAGTCAAATGCCACTATGTCTTATCGCAGACAGGAAAGTGAGTATTGATGACAGTTTCTAGTGATTGTTCAGTAGCCCATATATCATTATCTTCACTACGGTAAGTAAAGTGGCAGCGCCGTGTGCCGGCGACTCAGTTAGACACTTAGGAAATTGTCCTTTGGGATACCACATTCTGAACGGCACCCAATAACCTAATCGATAAAACGCCTCCAGCCGATTATGTAATTACGAGTTCGGCTAATCACAATGCGCCAGAGATCCTCGGGGCTATTAAGGATGCGGGAGCCAAAGTACTTCAACCTTAGCCTCGCAAACGCTAGGCACATAAAAGGTAGTATTGAAATGGTCCACCTCATCATCTTCCAGGCAACTGCCCTATACGGGATCCGTATGTTCAGGCTTACTGCGAAAACAGTGACCCATTAAAATCGCCACCAAGAGTGAGAGCTGTGGCTTTGGAAGTGTGAGGAGTGCCCTCGACCGCACGCTGTCCACCCTCGGCTAGAAGGACCTTGCAATCGCGCATGTCCTGGTTTTCGCCTAGCTCTCGTTGAGCTGACATGATGCCCATGTATCCAAGAATGCACCACAAGTGATCAATGTCACCCCCGGCCGCTCAATATCCGGCGATAATGTACCTTCCCTAGCCAATTCGCCAGCTGCACAGTTCGGCGGTCGCTGTTACCCAGAACCCAAGTGACATTTCTTAACCAATTTAGAGCACACTGCTAACGCCCCCGATAGCCGCTTGGCTATCAAAATAAATGCTCACCTCCCTGACTGTCATCGCACTGCGGAGCAGTACCTCCATCGCCTTCTTGATAGCAGCCACTTCCGCCCGGAATAGTGCGGGAAATTGGGCTGATAGACAACTCCCAGGAGCCAGCGTCGACAGGCACAACGTTCAGCATTACGTTCAGTGCCAATGTGGGGGTCTCCGCAGTGCCCCATTAATACCAATTAAAGCAGCCCATTGTATGTGCTCCAGCTGTTTAGCTAGTGTAGCCTTTTCTAGTGAGTTCCACCAGACTAGGGCGCCATAAAACATAATAGGCATGACTGCGGTCTCGTAGAGCCAAATAGACAACTTTGGGCGAAATACCCCATCTCGTGCCAATAGCTCCCCTACCGCAGTATAAGGCCAGTGATGCCATCCTTGCTTTATCCTCGCTGTTTGGCCTCCACAACAACTTCCTGTCAAGGATCAAGCCCAAGTACTTTACCTTGTCAGACAGCTGTAA